ACTAGTAGAAGGTGGCAAATTACTCGCACAACCGGCCTCAACCTGTCTCACTCTATCCTTGATTTCTATTAACCCAAGTTGAATGACTTTGTGCTTAGCATCATCGTTGGAAGCAATTTCTATAATTTCATCCATTGTCTTGTGGTAGTTATCATGTACCTTTGCATTCAGAACAACCCCATATGTAGTGTATGTGGTAGGAATGCATGTGTACCCTCTTTCCAAATCTTTTCTCCATCTCGGCACAATATATTTATCCGGAACCTCATATGTGGACGTCTCAAGGAGCACACTAAGTGAATGGGCACACATGATGCCCCTAAATTCAAACCACCGACACATGCATTGGATGTCGCATTCAATGGAATTACAGTACACAACAAATTCCACTTTCTTCATTTGCTCACCAACTGGAATAGCCTCTTTCACATGATAAGTACAAATTGATCCTTTCTCTTCCACAAGAGTCGCACGACAATACAATAATCGTTTCATTTCTACTTGAACCTCTTTAAATTTTGCGTTTGTGTATGCTGCACGAAATTGCTTCTCAAAAGCATACATCGTTAGGCAATCATACAATTTGTTTCGAGATTTAAAATCTGCTTTGGCCTCTTTCTCTACCTTACTTCTCAAGGCATTGTCATACTGCTCAACAAATTGCTTTAAAGTAGTTTTCGAGTTGACATATCCATCAAAAAATGCATTCATACTCTCACTTCGTTGTGTGGTTGACATACTAGCCCAAAACATGTCTTTCACATAGGCAGGAATCCACCTATGTCGCTCATCATAAAATCCCCCCAACCAATCGTTATCATGTAGACCAAACTTTTCAATCATTGCTTGCCATTCTTCATCAAATTCATTTTTTGTGAAAGACTCATAAACTGCCTTTTGCAAAGCAAACTTTATGGATTCATATTCCGAATAGGCTCTCAATTTTTCTGGAATTTTCTTCATTATATGCCATAAACACCAACGATGTCGAGCCTGTGGGAAGACAACTTGTATGGCATTTTGCATAGCTTTGCACTGGTCAGTTATTATAGCATTCGGAGGAGTGTCTGACATGCAACTTAACCAAGCTCTGAATAGCCATACAAATGTCTCGGTGTTCTCATTACATAATAGCCCACAACCAAACAAAATTGACTGCCCATGGTGATTAACTCCTACAAACGGAGCAAACGGCATGTCATATTTGTTTGTCAGATAGGTTGTGTCAAATGTGACAACATCTCCGAATGCGTTATAAGCTGCCCTACTCCTTGCATCTGCCCAAAATAAGTTCCGCAAGCGTCCTTCTCCATCAAAGTCCATTTCAGAGTAGAAGTTCGAATTTTGTTGTTGCATCCTATGAAAATAAAACGCAACTGATTCGGCATCTCCTACTCCAAGCCTTAATCTTCTAGCCTTGTCAATGTGATTCCTGGCATCTCGTTCGTCAAATGTTAATGCCTCAAATCCCCCCGCTTCAACAACCATAGAATGAAAATTCCTAGCCACTCCTATCCCTGCCTCATCATTTATTTCTAATCTTCTTTTCACAGGAGTTAGAATTCTCTTATTCATAGCAAAATGCCATGAGTCACTAGGAACCAAGTCGTGAGTATGCTCCAGCACAACGGTTGTCAACTTATATGTTCCATCCTTTTGTAGACTCCCTCTTAGTTTTGCTTTACAATCATTTTTAGATGACAAAGATGGTTCTAGCGGGTTCACTTCCGATCTCTTTCTTCTCATCCTTGCTCGAGTACATTCAATTCCGAAGTATTTTAGTTCCCCATCATTACCAAAATTTTGTGTTCCATAAGCTATAGCAAATCCAAAGTGCTTCGCATATTTTGCATAAAATGCATACACTTCTTGCTTTGGAGTAAAACGCATCCCCTGCTTTGGTTCTTCAACTTCACCACTCTCGGGTTCTTCAACTTCCTGACTAGGATTGTTTGAACCTTCCATCCTTTTGTTGCTAAAATGAAGCTTCTAGGTTAACAATTCAAAACATTTGAAACAAGAACTAATCAAAAACATGTGAAACATAATTTTGATGGGACAGTAAAAAATTATCACATATAAAATTCAGGATATGTATCGATATCGGTAATACGGTCATATGTCATAACAACTTCATTTTCTACAAAATGGATAACAGATTTTGTTATTTGAACAAGTTTATTTTCATAACATTTTTCATAACAATCCATGGAAAATTCACAATGAAACAAAATAGAGCAAGAAACAAAATGGATAATTGTCACGACCCAAACCCGGCCCTATGGGTTTAGCACCGTAACCGGCCAGTAATCCGAGATTACCAAAGGCCTGCTTAACAGTAATACAGTAAAACAGAGTACAGGGCCTGGCGGAAGCCAATACAGTAATTAAACAATGTCCAATGAGCTGTGACAGTCTGTATGCCAAAAAGATTTTTCATGCATTCATATATATACAAACAGTACAGTCTATACAAAATTTATAGTCACACAGTACAGGGACCTAATCCCTTGATAACAGTACAGTTAGCAACTGACAGTCTACAGTAATCCAAACAGTATGGAGACAGACGGGGGAAAACAAACAAAACACCCCAAAGCCATAGCATGGCAACTCGGAACCTCGCAGTGAGGCGCAATGGCTGGCATGACAAAACTGGAGTCTAACCCACGCTCCTAGCTCCGGTCTGGTGGCTGACCACCTACATATATATATAAACAGTGAGCTAAAGCCCAGTGAATAACATAATGCGTAAAGAGGTTTAGAATGAATGTCCTTACGGTAATGAAAACAGTTCAATTCAATCAGTATTTCAGTTGTTCAGTACAGTAAACAGTCATATGTGGTACATCCATTAGCATAACAGTAACAATAGGTCCTAAAAGGCCGAACAGTAATGATGGCCATCAGTCAGTAAACAGTAGTGGCTCCACGAGGGAACCGACAGATCTCTGTAACAGTAACAGTAACAGTAAACAGTAGGTACTAAGGATGCCACAGTACAGTTCAGAAATAAAGGACATACATTCATTCAGTAAATAATACCAGTTCAGTAAACAGTTCAGTTCAGTATTCAAAAGATAATCAGTTGAACATATCTTTACACAATTGTTACTCACAGAGTTCTGGGCTACAGTATGCTAGAGCGTGTCTCCCCAGTTGCCAACCCTACACAGTTCACAGGTTGAACACACTAAGCTACACAGTTGGGAAATATCATAACTTAATCCCTAATTTGCCTTGGTGTGTTCTACAACGATATCCTCATCTAAATGTCTTAAACTAGGCCTAAGAATGCTTAGGATGGGATGAGGATGCAAAAATACACTTAGAAAACATTTTGTAAAGTTTTCTGAAAATAGGAGCCTCGCTCGAGCGAGACTTTATCCGCTCGAGCGTAAGTCCAAAATCAAAGGCCTCGCTCGAGCGAGAGATCCTTCGCTCGAGCGGTCTGCAAAACAGTAAAAATACTGGATGCTGAGATTTTACGCGCGATGGTCGCTCGATGGTCGCTCCAAAATCAAAGGATTCGCTCGAGCGAGGAATCCTTCGCTCGAGCAGTCTGTCAAAACAGTAAAAATACTGGATGCTGTGATTTTACGCGCGATGGTCGCTCGATGGTCGCTCGAGCGGAGCCCTGGACAAAGGTGCTCGCTCGAGCGGGGAATCCTTCGCTCGAGCGAGGAAGCCAAATCTGGAATTTCCAGATCTGCCTCCCAAGCTCAAACCAAGCATTCTACCACTCCAAACTCGACCTCTTGGGCCCAAATTCTGGAAAACATAACTAAACTCAATGTATAACAAGTTTCAAAGCTCAATTTATGAATTCAAGCCCCAAAGGTGAGACAATTAAAACCATATTCAAACCCAATTTCAAACCATTTTCCAAGAACAATATGAATATGCAACATGCATGATCTTAAATCATTTTCAAAGCTTTAATGCTATTTCAAAAGAGCTCAAACCTTCAAAAACAAGATTAACTCATGGGGTACCACAAAATTATGAACATGCATGCACCAAAGCTTGTTCAAATGATTTCATTTCTTTTCAAAACCAGATGAAAACATGGTCTATAACAACAATATGAGCATGCATGTACTAATGTCCATGTAATCAACCTCAAAGTGCAACAATACTAACATGCATGCAAGAGATGAGCTTCAATTCAACATGTATGCACCAAAACATGGCTTAACTCTACAATTAAAGCATGAATTGTGCAAGAATGCATTCTAAGAGATGAGCTTCAATCTGCCATTAATGAACCAAATCATGACTTAGCTCTACAAATTAACATGAACCATGCATGAATCAACTTAAAGACAAAATCAAGAGATGAAATTCATACCTAGGTTCCTCGAATGCAAGTCTAGAGGTTCAATATAGCAATCTACACTTCAATTCCAAGCAATTCAAGCCAAATCAACAAGAACAATTCTCTCTCTCTCTAACTCCCATGGTCGGCTAGGCTCAAGAGAAATGGCTGATGGAAATGTTTTGAGTCAAGTATGCAAAGCTCTAGCATCACTAGGTAGTGGGCCACTAAGGGTGGCAATATGGTAAATAAACCAAACTCTTTAATTAGCTTATTTTAATCTAATTTAATCATACCTAATCAATTTTCAGATAATTTTACTATAAAATCACATAAATTATGAGGGTCATAGAACACTAATCGGTTTCGGATTCGGCCGCCGATAAGGCCTTCAATTAGCAGTTTAAACATATGAACATGAACAGATAATCATACAGTCAAATAGATAGAATGTAATTTAACTAACATATACTCAATCAATTCGGTTTCCAATTTCAGTCAGTCAGTTCAGTACTTCTAATCAGTTCAATTATCAGTCAGTTATCAGTCATTATCCGTTTCACTTAACAGTAATTGGTGATTATCGGTAATCAAGCAGTCATTAATCAGTAATCAGTATGGGGGTTGTTACATATATATATACATATTTTATCTAATATATATATAAGTGTGAATTGAATTTTATACTCAAAATTATGATGACTTGCCTGCAAAAGTGGACAAAGAAAATGTGTAAAAGTTGGATAAAGGAAAAGTGGACTAAGAAAAAAAAGGTTATTCTGTCGATGAGTGCCTTCTCTTCCAACGGGTATATTTTTTGGTATAAATAGAAGTGTTGTGTATGGAGAAAAATTAAGAACTTGAAAAGAAAAAAATTTTGTGTGCTCCAAAATTTTGAATATATTGTATTCTGCTCTTTCACTTTCAGATCGAAGTGTACCCTTTGTTCTTACACTTTCATATCTACTTTTTGTGAGAGAATTATTGTAAAAGAGGGTTTAAGTACCACTTATTTTTATTTATTATTTTTGTGAGAGATTTTTGTAAGGGTGAGGCATTTATTATTGTGAGGCTCAATAGATAAGAGTAAGTCCTGTGTTGAATCCACAAGCTTGGTAGTGTATTTATTCAGTTGATAGTGAAGAAATTCTTAAGGAAGTTCCTTGGGGAGTGGACGTAGGCCTGGCGTGCCGAACCACTATAAATCTTAGTGTTTGATTTTCTCTCCCTATCTTTCTTACTTTTATATTGATAATTATTATTCTGTTTTTTTTTTTTTTTTGGTTAAAATTCTGAATATTGTGTTAATTTTAATATTGTAAATTTTTTTTAATAACCCAATTCACCCCCCTCTTGGGTTGCCTACCTGGGACAATACCCTAAATCGGCACATTCCCTCTCTAAAACAATTTCTCTGTACAAATACTCCATGATCTAAGGGTCTCTCTACCCTACTCTCTTTGATAAAGAGTTAGAGCATCTTGTGGGCTTCCTCTTGATCCGAGCAAAATCGAGTTTGGGCACCTTTGAGGTTCTTCTTCATCTCCTTTGAGCTTCTACACTTGAGGTAGGGATATTCTACAACTTGATATGGTTTGGGAGGATTTGGATGAAGTTAGGGTTTGAGTCCAAAATTTAAAAATGGGTTTTTATATTGGGTTCCATGAATATATATATATATAGGGTATTGAATATGAGGTTATGTGGGTTAAAATGATGAAATTTGGACTTAGGATTGATATTTGAAAAAGGGAGAAAATTTCCCTAATTGATGTTAAATAATTATTTTGTATAAATGATGAAATTGACATGAAAAATATGAAGTTGGGGGAGTGTATGAATGAATGGTGTAGTTGGATTTGATAAATCGCTCACCTATGAAAAGTTGATAAATTATTTATTTGATAGATAGTATATCGGTTTAGAAATATCTATTTTGGGCTATCGATGGAGGATAGCTATGATTGTTGTAGAAACTGCATGAGGATTTGGTAAATTGAAACTAATCATTTGAGTTATGTCATTGAATATGATGGTTTGATTAAACCATTGAATATGAGATTTGGATAGTCATTGTATATGACAACACTTTTAAATACATTGTATATATGTTATTATTTGGGAGGAGATATGGGATGGACTCCATTGAAAATTAAATTGCCCGGAGTGTTCAGGGTGAAAGTCCCGAAATTTGATATACACATATATGGGTGCCGATTCCCTTAGACGAGAATCCGTAAAATGACAAGAAAGTTTATGTGTTTGAGTAATGATTGTATTGAATTGTGAACCACTGAGTTGTAGCCTCATTTTGGTTGGTTAAATAATAATGAAATTGGTTAATGGATTAACTTGAAATGAGCGAATAGGAGCGGATTTAGATGTAGTTATCTACACTGCGTAGTCATGGAAAGAATGTAAGCTGGTCTTAAATTTTGAACATTTATCTGACGTTTATACCTTAGTTAAATCTCATATATTGTGCTAGTTTATCTCTTCTGGGTTTTGGCTCACCGTACTTGGGAAACTATTTTCAGGTACTGGTGACATGCCACCTCCAAGGTCATAGCTTGGGAGGATTAGGGGCTGAAGGCTCTATTTTTGTTATATTTATGTTTAAATGTTTATTCAAGCCGAGGGCTTTACA